TACATGCTACACAAATATCTATATCTATTTCTATCTCTCCATCCATCTATCCCCATACACCGAGAGAGAAAGGGAGACAGACAGACAAACAGAACAAAACAGACAGACAAACAGACAGACAAACAGACAGACAGACAGACAGACAGACAGACAGACACAGACAGACAAATAAACAAACAGGCTCAGCAGGGTGTCGGAAATCTACTTGACCAATACAAGAACCCCCTTTTCGACCCCCCCCCCCCCTAGACTTTCGACCCCGCATCGAACTGGCCGAAAATATTTGTAAGGATTCCGCCGTTGAGACTGCCCCTCGTTCGCACAGCATGGGGAGGAGGGGGGAGGAGGGGGGAGGGGGCGGAGCGACCCAGACGGAGCTCTCCTCTTGAAAAGGTGTTTATAATAATTCACCGAGAGTGTGTCTGTGTCTTCTGGGGGTATTAGGGGGGAGGAGGAAGTGGTAGGGGAGGAGGGGTTGGGAAGGGGTTGGTGGGGGGGAGGGTGGAAGGGTGGAGGGGATGGATGTGGGGTGAGGAGGGTTTGGAGGGGTAGGTGAGGAGGAGTGGATGTAGGGGAGGGTGGTGTGGGGGTTGAGAGATTGAGTGAGGGAGACAGTGGAGATGGGGGTGGGGAGGGTGGGACGGGGAGTGGATGTGGGGGAGGGTGGCTGTGGGGGTGAGGAAGTGAGGGAGAGAGTGGACACGGGGGTGGGGGTTGGGAAGGGGCTACAAAAGAAGGGAGGTGATGGGTGTCAGAAGTATAAACGCCAAAGGACAGATAAAGAGGGGACTAAAGGAAGGATAAAGGATAATCAGGGTTTAAAATGCATAGTAGGGGAAGGTCTGTGTGTGTGTGTGAGTCTGAATGTAAGTATGAGTATGAGTATGAGTGTGTGTGTGTGTATGTGCATGTGTGTATGTATGTATGTATGTGTATGCGTGTGTCGTTGTCTGTGTCTGTGCATAGGCATGCATGCACGAGCGCCGTGCCACAGAGCTTCCGCGTCCAGCGTGTGGCGCTTCACCACCGCCAGCAGAGATAGAGCGGCGCAGCAGTAAAGCTCGTTATGGCGTGAAGGAACAGCGCGTGCGGACTCTTTCTTTCTTTTTTTTTCTCACCCCTGCGCTCAGTCTCGATCCGCGAGGGCGTGAGTGTGGAACGTACGGGCGTGATAGCGTTTTTTTTTCGTGTGTGTGTGTCTTGATTTTTATTATTTTTTCCCCCTCCTAACCCGCCGACGTAATCCCCGGCAGCTGCGAGGGAGGTCACACCGGCAGAGCAAAGAGAGAGAGACAGTTGTGAGGCTTAAGTAAACATCTACCTTTCTTGGTTGATCCTCGTACCCCCTCCTCCCCCTCCCCCTCCTCCTGCCTGCCTTTCTTGCTCTGCTTCTTCTTCTCCTTCTTCTCTTCTCTTCTTCTTCCTCTTTTTTTCTTTCTTTTTATCGCCATCGTCTTCTTCGTCTTCTTTTCCTCCTCTCCTCCCTCCCTATAATTATTTGTGGCTATATTTTTCTCTGCTCGTATGATTATGTGTTACATTTTTTAGATTCCTTTTCCTGTTTTTCTTTTCCTGTTCCTCACATCTGCTCCCTCTCCTCCTCCTCCTCCTCCTCTTCATCTTCATCATCTCATTCCTCTTCCTCCTCCTCTTCATCTTCATCGTCATCTCATTCCTCCTCCACCTCTTCATCTTTATCGCCATCTCATTCCTTCTCCTCCTCCTCTTTATCTTCATCTTTATCTTCATCTTCATTGTCATCCCATTCCTCCTCCTCGTCCTATTCCTCTGTGGTTGCTCTTTTATTAATTATCTCCTTCGTAGCTTGCTCTTCTCTCTTTTTTTTTATTTTGTCTCCCCGTTGTCTCTGTTGCCTCCCTCATTCATCACATTTTCTTGCATCTCCGCTTCTATCCGTTATGTTTCTCCCAGTCTTTTTCCGCGCCAGCCGTCCCCTCCGGTGTGTAATTAACTGTTAAACTAGGCTTCTTTTGTGTGTCTTTATTATCCTCTTCGTGTCTCCGTAATATTCCCGCTGTTCTCGATGGAGTCTCATAGTTCTTTTTTTTTTTACAGACTGTAACCTCATTGTTTTCTCAAGCCGTCTTATCCTCTCTTTCTCCCCTCCCTCCCTCCCTTACTCCCCCTCACCCCCCTTTCACTCTCGCTCCTTTGCTCCCCTCGCCCCCTCCTTTACTCCCCCTCACCCCTCCTTTACTCCCCCTCACCCCCTCCTTTACTCCCCTGCCCCCCTTTCTTAATCCCTCAGCCTAATCCTTTCTTAGAGTCCATGCTCCTTCCTGCCTTAACCTTTCTCGGTCTATCTCCTTCCCTCTCTCTTCTTTTTTCTTCGAGCTCTCTTTTAGTCTCTGTTTCTCTGTTTCTCTTTCTTTCTTCTTTTTTTTCAGGCTTGCATTTTTTTTTCTTTCTCACTATCTCTCTTCTTCTTCTCTCTTCTCTCCCCCCCTCTTTCTCTTCCCCTAAGTTGTCTTCCACTCCC